CAGAGGTGAGAGAGTTCACATGGTCATCTACATGCCGGAGAGCTGGAGATCCGGGAGCTGCTCAGAAATGCGTGTGCAGATGAGATGGGGAAGGTTGGAGCTCTTCAGTAGCAAACACACTTCTGTCTCCATTCACCTTTTTATTCCATCCAGACGAAAGCCTGTTGACGATGCCACCCACTCTGGGCTGGTCTCCCGCCTCAGTTCACTGGCCTACATGCCCACTAACCACAGACACACCCCAAAGTTTCTTAATCTGTTCAAGTTGATGTGTCGTGATTAAGGATTACAGCATCTTTTCAATCAATGGATTACTTAACTAATAAAAATTCAAAATTTAAGAACACATTCAAATGCTGGATGTGGTAGTGCACATCTGTAATCCCAGCACCTGGGAGGCTGAGGCAGGAGGATCACCATGAGTTCAAGGCCAGCCTGCCCTACATAGCTAGACCCTGTCTCAAAAAAAAAAAAAAAAGAGAACACATTCAAAATTTAAGAACATAGATAATACTTCATATAGCCCCCTGCAGTCTCAGTGAAATATTGTATACGGATGGAAACAAAGAGGTGAGATATAAGGAGAAATAATAAAAATAAGACTCACAGCTCAGGTCAAACCCAGGGGCGCTCTACCCCCAGCAATTTATTTTGAGATGTAAGTCTCACTAAATTGCCCAGGCTGGGCTTGAACTTGCAATCCTGCTGCTTCAGTGCCTGGTAGCTGGGTTACAGGTGTGCACTGTGGCCCTGGGCTTCAGGTCTTTCCCTCAGCCAGCCAGCTCACTAGCCCCAGGGATGGTCTGCCTTGGAAAGCCCAGGTGAGTGGGAATGCAGTCACTGACCGCTGCTCTCATCTGAGGCTCCTTGAGCTTCATTTTTGCTTTGGCCTCATATTGTCTGGAATGTACCAATGCCATCTTACAACTATTTTCTCAAGAAGTCTTAACAAGTGAGCTTTTATCCCAGATGATCATAACCTGCTTTCAATTTTGCTTCTGCAGGTTTCTCTAGTGACAGATTACTTTTTCTCTCATTTCCTCCCCCTCTTCAAATACGTCTTAGAAATGTCTACAGATGCAGTGCTCCTTAGTCCAGCAAGCCTGGAAAGACAAAGACTGCTCCCTCTTCCAGGACCTCACTGTCCTTACTTAGATGAGTACTTAGTAACTTCCAAAGAAGAGGCAACTACAGCAATTATCTTTGTGGTATGGATTTCTAATTTAATTCTGTTGTGGTCAAGGGCCACATACTGCAATTTAAATTCTTCATAGCCTGGCATATGGTGACTTTCCGAAAACATATTGTATATATTTTAAAAGAATACAGGTCTGTGAGTGAAGCTCAGTGGTGGAACACACGTGTGGCTTGTATAAAGCCCTGGGTTTGATCCCTAACAACTCCCCCACAAACACAAATATAGACATATGGAGCTTGGATGTGTTCATATTTATTAATTAGGTCAAATACATTAATCATCCCATATAAATATGTATTATTCTTGATTTTTTCTGCTTCTATTATTTTTTCACTTATTGACAATGGCATATTAAAGTCTTTAAGTATGATTGCAAGTGTACCTAGCTTTCCATAATGTTATCACCATATTTGCTTTATAAAATTTGAGGTGATCTGCTAGGTGTGGGGGCACATGTCTATAATCCCAGCACTCATGAGGCTGAAGTAGGAGGATCACCACAATTTTGAGACTAACCAGGGCTACATAGTGAGGTAGAATCAGCCTGGATTACACAGCAAGATCCTGCCTCAAAAAAACCAAAAGAGAAATTGATGTTATATTATTAACTACAGTATATACAAATTTAGAATGTTTATTTTGTTGTTGCTGTTGTTGAATTGACACTATGGTGTTTGGGTGGTTTGGATTTTTTTAATCATTATCTTAGAATCTTTGTATTTTACAAACCTCTCTTTAAAAGTTTTGTTTATAAGCAACCTGACAATCTTTGTCTTTTAATTAAAGCTTTTATTACATTTTCATTTAGTGTAATTACTGGTATATTTAAGCTTCAATCTAATTTCTTACTACTTCTATTTTTTTAAACAATAAAAATAGTTTCATTTTTAAAACTATTAAAAAACTGTTCTATGTTCCTTTTTCTCTCCTTTCTTACTTTCATTTGGATTGATTTTTAAAAGCATTCTATTATCCTGATATTGTGCATGCTATTAACTTGGTAGTTATGCATCTTGTTAATATTCTTTTAGGACCTAGACTAGTGATTTTAATATACATCTTTGTCAAAGTCTAACATTCATGAGTATTGTCATTATTTCCAAGACAATACTGCACCCTTAGAATATTTTAACCCTGTCCTCCTTCTGAAAATCACATGTTATATGTGGTCCCATATTTTGTTTTATACATTTCGAAGTTCGAAACACATTATTATTTCACAAACCAATAATACGTTAAATTTTCTCTCCCATTTGCCCTCCTGTCCTTCTTCAGCCCTCAGCTCTGACCTTCCGTTGCGAGTATTTGCCTCCTGTTCAGTGACCTTCCCATTCCTCCAAACTCTCCAAATTCACCCAGCGGTGTCTTGTAGTCATGTGCAGGTTTACTGTATATTTTCACATATCAGCAATGTCTTTTCCCTTTTTGATGTTCTTCCTGCATTTTTAGACTTCTGTATGAGTAATTTTTCTCTTGCTAGCAGGACACTTTTAATATTCCCTTTATTTTGCGTCTGGAGTTAACAAATTCTCTCAAACATTGTTTCTAAAGCTGACATTATTTCATCCTCATTATTGAAGACATTTTTGGTTTGTCAAACTCTCCAGTTTTCAGTCTCCAATTATCACTAGAACTACATTTTGGGTTCTTCCAGGAAAAAAAAAAAAAAACATAGATACCATTATTTTGCAGTGAATATAAACTCTACATTTTCTAAATCTGGGAGTGGCAGTATATAATTATTGTGCTTCACCCAGAGAACAGCACACTTGCATCCCTTTCCTGGGATACACAGGCCAGAACAAATAAAGTGAACATCAAAATTTGAAAGTCTGAGAAAAGCAAGTTGCAAAATGCAGTCAGGAAAGAGGGTTCAGTTTTGCAAAGGATAGTTCCCAAGCCTAAACCCTGAAGGTTCACTGTAATTCTCCAAGCTTTAAGGGTGGTTCTTTCTCCTTCTCACTCCTTAAGCACAGTCATTCATTTATTTACTGTCTTTCAGCAAGATGTTTTTATTAACCTCTGCTTAGTGCTAGAGACTGTAAATTCTGATAAATCAGTTATGAACTCAGCCTGCAAGAAACTTCCGCTAGAGAAGATAACAGATGTACAAATACCAGTAAGAGATCTCGGCATGCATAAGAAACCTCAGGCAAAAAGTCTTCTCTATTTAAAGAAGTGACAGATTGTTTGTGGGGAATAAGGATGTTAAGGAGAAAAAAAAGAGGATGTTAAGAAAAAAACAAAACAAGCAAAACAACAGTGAAACAGTCTCCAGGAGGCAATGCAGTATTTGAGTTGTTCCTTGAAGAAAAGAAGAAACTGGTCACTCCAAGACAGTGATAAGTGACCAGTTTTTCTGAGAAGCACTGTCCGAGAGCAAGTACACTGTCAGGTAGAATTATAAGCGCAACAGAGCGGTGAGAAATAAATGTCAGACTGCAGGTGGCCCTGGGTAGCTGGCTCAGTTCCGCTGGAGACAAGCGCTCAGCCAAGCTCGTCTGAGCTTTTCATCCAGGAAGGTGAGGGAGAAGGGCATACATCTGGCGCCTCCTGGGGACCCGCCTTGCTCAGACCGGGTGGGCAGGATCTCACTGATCCTCTGGTCACGCTAGGAGGTGGCCATCAGGATCCCCACATGGCGAAGACACCCACATCCCTTACCCTTCATAATTTGTGCAGACGGTCGTGCCCGTGGTCGCCTCTGTCGGGTTACGGATGTGGCTTGGGGTGTCAGATTGACCATGCATAATGTAGATCTGTGTGTAAGGGGTGATCAACATACATGGTGAACGCTTCAGTTTTAAAAATTTATTGTAGTAAAAGACACATCGCCATTAATCTCCTTCAGAATCCCCCCTTGCTTCAAAAACACCCATCCTATTGCTCTTGCTACTTTATGGAGCAGCTCTGGAGTCCTTTCCTGAGCGGCTTTACCAGATGTGATCAAAACATACAGTGACTGCTGCTGCAGAGCGCCCTCCAACAGCAAGGCAGGCTCCTAAAAACACGACGTTGTGTCCTCACCCACCTCGCTTACAGGGCTGGCACCACGACTTCTGGCTCTTCCCCAAAGTCATAATAACCATGAAAAGGAGACATTTTGAATCCATTCAGGACACTGAGGCAGTCACGACAGTGCAACTGAAGACACTCAGAAAGAGGACTCCAGACCTGCTGCAGAAAGCGGCAAGGAGGATGGGATGGGTCCATCGGAAGCGAAGGGGAGGACTTTGAGGGGGTTCGGGACCCTGCGTCTTTTACCGTGTGCATGTTTTTAAGAAATGCACATTTCCACCGTATTTTTCGGTCACACCGTGCACACCTCGGAGGCTCCAAGAAACAGGGAGATGGGTCTTCGGCACGTGGGAGAGGCGGAGGGATGGAGGGTGGGCCCGGGGACGTAAAAAGAAATACGGTGCGTACGTATACCAGCTCCCCACTAGGAATGTAATCACTGTGCACGGCAAACACGGACTAACTAACAAAAACCAGACGATTCCTCAGCCAGTAAGCGCCTGGGTCGCTGCTGGGGCAGACCCAGGATCTGCCAGGCTCAGGCCCTAGAGCTGGAAACCAGCCGGCTGCTCGCACGCGAGTGGCCGCCAGCCGAGGGGGCGGGATCTGCCAATCGAGGGGCGGGTCCTCTCCGTGGAAAGCACAGGGTCTGCCTTGGGAGGGGGCGGGACCTACCCTCCCGTGGGCGGGGCCTGTCGATGGAGGTTGCCGGGCTTGGCCGTCGAGGGGCGGGGTTTGGCGTTCGGTGGGCGGGGCCTGGCGGCCGTGGGCGGGGCCTGCGGAGCCCGCATCCCGCCTGCCGCGCCCACGGGGAGCCTTGCAGACTCGCAGACTCGCACCCGCTGCCCGGCATGCTGCTGCGGGGCGGCCAGGCGCTGCGGCGCTTCTCCACCGGCCAGGTGAGTGCGCGGCCAGCGCCCCGCGCTGACGTCCAGACCGGTGGGCGGGGCGATGCTGGGACCCTGCCACCCGGGCAGGGGGAGGGTCCCGGGTGGGAGTTGCCCCGCCGCCTATTGTCTTCCGCGGGTCACATCGGTGGGCCGGGATGACTCGAGGGGACAGTCGTCTCCTGTCCTCGCTGGTCTCCGCCGTGGGCTCCGCACCGTGCACCATCGCGGCCCGGCCCGCTGCACAGGCGGCCGCGCGGGGGTCAGAGGAACGCGCGCCAGCCGCGAGCCGGCCCAGCCAGCGCAGGGTTGCATCAGCTGCTCCCGCGGGGGAGAGCCGACACGTTGCACGGCGCCGCGTCGGGAGCCTGGCTGGCAACCTTGCTGACGAGCACCGGGCGCGGGGCAGTTTGTTGCTCAGGAAGAACGAACCTGCGCCTGGGTGCTCGCCTCCTGCAAGGGAAGGACAGCCGGCTGTGCTGCCAGCGGCTCGCTGTGGCATGGGTCTCCTCCGCCACAGTACAAATGGTGAATATGCAGACGTAAAAAAGTTGGAGACAGAGGCTCAAGTAGCCCCAAGAACTGTCCCAGACTTGAATAAATACCAAAGCTCCCGTTCCGCAGGGAACCTCAAGTAATGGGGATTCAGCTCACTCCTTAGTCACTTCTCTGACTTTCCGGGTGCTCAGCACAGTTTAGAAGGTCAGCGCGGGGAGCTCTGCTCAGCTGCTCCCAGCCCAGGCACCGGCACCAGATGGGTGACACAGAGACCGGGTCTTGTGCCTGCCGGTTTAGCTGGGCAGAAGGGAGGGTTCTGCAGAGGGGTTCCCATATTTTCAACAACGAAAGAACATCCCAGGGGGCGAAGGACGTCAGCAACAAGCCCTGGACGTGGGGAGCACCGGGCTCCCCCAGTCGCGCTGTCCCCAGGAAGACTCGGGAAGGCGGTGACAGATAGGCGGAAAGAAGGCAGGGTTCTCAGTGGCCGAAAGGAAGATGTCAGATGATAAGGGAAGATTGGGATGTTTTACTTTGCAGGGACGGGGCTCCATCCTGGGGTCTGTGTTCGTAAGAATGACTTAAAAGCTAGCGCTGACGTGGCTGGTGGGCAGATGAAACGACACAGCCACTGTGGAAACTGGCAGACTACTCAGTTAATTATACACTTACGCTTTGCCCAGTGGTCACATTCCTTGGTATTTACCCGGAAGAGGTGCACTTTATGTCTCCACACCAACCTGTTGACAAGGGTTAAGGGGGCTGTATTCACAATCATCGAAAAACCGGAAAGGACTTAACTGCGTTCAGCGGTGGTGGGATACACAAGGTGTGATTTACCTAGACATACAGTGGGGCAGGGAGGAAGGAACCACAGACACGGGATGAAATTCAGATACGTGTATTGAGAGGAAGGAGCCAGACTCATAAAGCTTTGCGTCTGAGGATTTCACTCATCTGACATTTTAGAAAGGGTAAAAACTATAGGGATGAAAAACTATCAGTAGTTGTCAGGAGCTGAGATAGGAGGAAGGAGTGACTTCCTTAAGCCAGTTTAAGGAAGTTTTAGGTGTGCTAGAACTCTTCTACATCTTTGTTGTGGTAGTGGCTATGTGATCTTGTGACACAGAACTGCACACATGACAAGGGTGTATTTTCCTGTATCTGTGTTTTATGCTTCTCTTAGTTGGTTTACCATGGCTATAATAAAGTATGTGAGGCTGGGTGCTTTATAAAGAAAAGAGGTTTCTTTAGCTCACAGTCTGGAGGCATCTGCTGTACTCTGGCATGGTCTCTGAGCAGTGACTCAGAAGAGGACTCAAAGGAGGGGCCAGGCTCCCTTAGAACAGTCTGTTCTCAAGGAACTAATCAAGCCCGAGATTGCATTAATCCCTCCCAGCAGTGCTGCCCCCCAGGACCTGGCTGCCCCACCCCTGCTTCTTCAAGGGTCTGCTTCCTTGACACTGCCTCATGAGACCAGTTCACCAGCCAGTCTTTGAAGAATAAACTGAAATCATACTCAAACCATCACAGTCTTCCCTTTAAAAAGTGAAAAACCAACCCAGGCAAATTGCAATCCCAGCTACTTAGGAGGCTGAGGCAGGAGGACTGCAAGTTGAAAGCCAGTCTGGGCAACTGAGCAAGACCCTGTCTCAAAATAAAAAATAAAAAGGGTTGTGGGTGTTGCTCAGTGGCAGAGAGCCCCAGGGCTAAGTGCCCATTATTATCGCCCACCCAAAAATCAAATAGTACTCTTACATTTTATACTGAGAGGAATGACAGACAAATGAAAAAAAAAAAAAAAACCTAGAAAAATCCACAAAGAAATTAATTTGTAATGCTTTCTAAAACAATTAATTTTTCATCCTCTGTCTTAAAGAGTGGGCTTAGAAGAATATTTAATGATTTCAGCGTAGGGGTGTGGCTGGGTCTTCTTACCTAGAACAACCATCTTTTAAACACTCTTTGTCACGGTAGGGTGAGCTCAGTGGCAGAGCACTGGCCTAGCACAGCTAGTCTGTTCTCCAGATGTCGGAATTCAACTTCAAACAATATCTAATGGCTATGTTCTGAACATGCTGCCTAAATCCAGAGGATTTAATATTAATAGAACTGACGTTGTGTTTAGCACTATTCTAATGCTTTACCTGCATAGTCCTTTAACCCTCGAGCCATCTCATTGATATATTTATAATTTTTATGCCCATTTTATAGAGTTATTAAACTTGTAACTTTTTCAGTCTCACTGTCAAAAAGGATAAAATGATAAAAATAGAAATAGTTTCTGCTTGTAAGGTGTTCAAATTAGTGTTTTTAGGTGGAGAACAATAAATAATACATATATCCTGAATAAGACAATACACAGAGAAGGACATGTAAATGGAAAATAAAACAGGAAAATATTCTCAACCGAAGTTGCAATCATGGAAACATGATCATAACAAGATAGCATTTTACACTTGAGTGTGATAGCATTGGGTGTTTACAGCGGAGTGAAAATACTTCCTCAGGCACACGAATGTGATGTTATCCACTAAATTTAAGTTTAAAAATGATCCTGGCACCTGACTGAGAGCAGCCCTCACATTGGCAGAGTGATAATGACGTATTAAACGCCAGAACACCGCTCAGAGGAGAAATGTCCACACAGACTGTGACACGGCCGCACAGTGGAATCTTGTGTGGCACTTTTAAGGAGCGAGTTCCATGCGCTCATAGGAGAGCCATAGAGCATTACACACCATATTATTCCATGTGTTTTTTAAATAAAATCATACTTTATGTGTACTTTTCATAAATGTAAATAGAAAGGTGTGCCGGGTACACCCCAAACTGTCATGTAGTAATTTTCCCTGGGGTAGGTGGTGAGAATCTGAGTGTGGGGTGATGGCCAAAGGGAGCAACAGACTTTGTGACCTTTTCTTTGAAATAAGGAATATATATATGTATTATGTGTATATAATATACATATTATATACATATAATTAAAATGAATCTTTACATTCCCACACGATGAAAATATCTGGGTCACTGCTCTGCATCCAAGTCCTGCCTCTCTAGCAGATTCCAGAGCCTGTCTCTGGCCCTGTGCCCTGTCTACCACGTCCCCGGAGTCTAAAATGTTCCCTGCTCGCCTGCATCACCCCAGGAGCTCTCTCTAGCTCCCAGCCTCTTTCTGGGCTGACCTGCTGACAGGTCCCTGTCCTGACACCGTCTTTTAAATATCTTTTATCTTTTATACGATTAAAAGAATTACTGGGGCTGGGGTGTAGCTCGGTGATAGAGTGCTTGCCTGGCACAAGTGAGATCCTGGGTTCTGTCCCCAGCATGGAAAGGAAAAGCTGGCCCGATATCCAAGAAAGCCATGTCACTCCTCCGTGGAATGATGCAATAGGAGGCCTCAGTCTCCATGGTGGTGTCCTGAACCTTGGCTGAGTCTTGCACAGATTTACTTGGATGTGAATGTAACGCGTAGCTTCTGACTGTGAGGACGTGAGTCTGTCACACCGGGGAGCACGGGCTTTCATGCCACCCGAGGACGACCCCTGGAGGCCAGGCGAGTCGGCCTGTGTGTCTACCCTCAGTGGCTCAAGGGGCTCAGGCCACGGGGCCCGCTCTCTCAGAACCCCGCCGTCGTCACTGTGCAGAGTGGCTCGGTGACGTCCACTGGCTTCACAATGAGATCCAGTTACTTGACACAGGCCGGGTCGTGCTCAACGCCTCTCTCGCGAGTCCTGCTCCCGGCCTGGACACACGGTGCCCACTTGTCCATTTCTGCAGCACCCCGAGGCTTCCCTGGGACCCCCGCTCCTTCCCTGCCCGGCCTCCCTGTGCCTGCTGACCCAGCGCAGAGCCACCAACATCTCATCCCCAAGACTGAATCCTGCAGACAGGAGCTGCTTACTTCGGACGTCGGTGTGGGATTACCAAGGGAAATGCCCACTGGGGACACTGGGGCAGGACAAATGGGGACGGGACCAGCGAAGACCAGGGCCACTGCTCACTGCCACCATCCACTGCTGTGTGGGAAGCCACAAACTTGGTTCTCATGAGAACCCCGAAATTCAGCCAGCTTGGGGGAGGTGGGAAATACTGAGGCCGAACCCAGAGCCTTCCCACTGGGCTGCATCCCCAGCCATCTTTTAATTTTGTTTTTTCTAAATTTTGAGACAGGGCCTCCCTAAGTTGCCCAGCTATGACTCAAACTTATGATCCTCCTGCCTCAGCTTCTTAGAGTGCTAGGGTTGCACGCGTGCCCGCTGCAGTGACCCAGTGTAACAGAGTCCAAGTGGTTCTCCTCAGGAAACGTCTGCATCACGAAAAGAGCTTCAGATCAGGGCAGACTCTAGTACCAGGCATTGAAGTGCTCGCTGACCAGGTACTGTTGCAGCACTGGGAGCAAAGCCCACATCAACTCACTGCCTGAAGGATTCCTCCAACAGCGGCTGGCCTGGTAGTGCAGTATTTGTTGAAAAGCAAAGCAAGGGGCTGGGGATCTAGCTCAGTGGCACAGCGCCTGCCTGGCAAGCACAAGGTCGTGAGTTCGATTCCCAGTACCGGAAAAAAAAAAAAAATTAAATAAAAAAAGAAAAGCAAAGCAAAAGTTCTGCTGCCAGCCAATGAGGACGTCGTCTCTAGAGGGGCACGGGTGTCAGCAGATTTGGAAATGCAGGTGTCACTTATACCTTCTTCTTTCTCAGCAGTGCAGGGACACACACCTTCGAAGAGACTGCCTTAGAAAGGGGTGCCGCCTCTCCTGGCAGGGCCACCAGCTTCACTCAGCTCCACAGCCGGCCTGGCAAGCTGCTGGCACATTTCCTGCTTTTGAAAAAGAGAAAGGACAAACTGAGCATGGTGACTTATACATCCCAGCTTCTATGGAGGCTGAGGCAGGAGGATCAGTTGAGCCCAGGAGCTCAGGGCCAGTGTGGGCAACATAGGGAGACCCCAGCTCTTATTAAAAGTTTGGGGAGGGCTTTCAGCCTAGGAAAGCCATAGACAACAGCCACTGGGTAAGACAGACAACCGGGGCTAGAATCCTGCCCCACGCCTGACTAGCTCTGCCCTCGGGCAGGTTACTAAACTTCTCTCTGTCCTGTGTTCTCATTTGTCAAAAGGATCACTGTGAGAGTTAAAGGCATATAATGAACATTTGATATATATTTTCTGGATTATGGAAAGGGCTTGGAAAGTCGGTACTGTAATTGTAATCCCAGCCTTCTGGGAGGCTGGGGCAGGAGGATCACAAGTTTGAGCTCAGCCAGGGCGACTTAGTGTGAGACCCTGTCTCAAAATAAAAAAGGGCTTGGTGTAAAGGCCTTGGGCCCAATGGTTCAACCTCCAGTACCAGGAAGGAAGGAAGAAAGGAAGGAAGGGAAAGAGGGAGGGAAGGAGGGAGGGAAGAAGGAAGGGGGAAAGACAATCAAATATCACATTTTCTCTGGTATGTGGGATCTGAAAGAGAGGACAAGGAAGGAGAAGAGGAAGTGTTAGAGAAGAGAGGAGTGGGTGAGGGGAGGCAAGGACAATGATAAAGGTGCAGACGCCGACGTGTGTCATACACGTGCACAAGGATGCCAAAGCCAGACCCGCTGCTCTGCGTGACGGACACACACCAACAGGGAAGAGTGTGTCCTAAATACATGTGCTGGGCTGAGAAGGGCCACATACAGCACCCGGCTCGCAGGACACCCAGGAGAGACGCCCACGCCGTCACTCTCGCCTGGGTCCCAGCCCCTCCTGATGTGCTACAGATCGAGAGCTGCGTTCCCGAGGCTTCGTGGTGGCACCGTGCTCCCGGGCTGCCCAGCTTGCCTCCTCGCCCGGCCCTGGGAGGCGGGACAGATTCTTACTCCGAGCTTACCGAAGGGCGAACGGGTCCTGCTAGGAGAGGGAGAGACGGACACGCCTGGGCTGGGCACCCACAGCTCCGCCAGGCCTGCAGCCGGGCAGCCCCTCTCCTGTGTGCCGCCTCCGAGCACGCCTCACTGTCAGCGTGGGGTCTAGGGCGGGCTTCCTCCATCCCGGGGCCAGGGACCTGCGGTGGGTGAGGTACCTGGCGCACATGGGGAGCTGCTACAAGGCCTGCCGATGTTTCCTGGGCTAACCCCTGGCACGCCCCAGAAAAGGAAAAGGAAAATAGAAGCTCTCCTTCAGCTCCAGCTTTAACACGAAGCTCAGAGTGTTCTAAAGCGCGGAAGAATTTCAGCGTTACTCACCTAGTTTTTTTCTTGCTTTGTTTACTAGCCCATATTTGCAGCGCATAAGGATTGCATTCTTCGTGGGGAGTGGGGCAAGCGCAGAGCGCACCTTCCTTATTTTCCATCCCGCCCCTTCCTTCCCTCCTGTCTCTGTCCCTGTCCCATTTGCAAATGATCTATCTCCTATTTCCTATTGTCCATCCTTTATTTTACTCCTTAAATTATTTATACTTTGAGTTTCTCCTATAGAGAGAAGCACGCAATATCTCAGCTTGTGTGATTTACTTCACTTAACACTATGGTCTCCAGGTGCATCCACTTCCCTACAAGTGACTCAAATAATCCTTCTTTATGGCAGAGTGGTACTCCACTGTGTTTAAGTGCCACATTTTCTTTATCCATTCATCTACTGATGGACAGATAGGCCACTCCCAAGATTCAGCTGAACCCCAAATGGCCAGGTGGCGGTTGAGAAGCGCATTCCACTGGAGTCTTTGAATTCTCCCCGCTCTAGTGCGCTTTGAAAGAACATTTCCCATTACATGAACATCTGGGGTGGGCGATGGTACGTGGGAAGCCGGGCTTTTTGTGAGGTGCCCGCCATGTGGACTGTGTTTCAAGCAGTAACCTGACGGCCGAGGCACAGAGAGAAGGTTTCCAAGGTTTCACAATGCTTTGACTTTTGCAGAGAGGAAAATCAGCAGCGTGCCACTCGCTCACGGAAGGGGATCTGCTGATGCTCCAGTGGGTCTGTTTGCTCGAGGAATATTGCTAGGTACTGAAGCTTAGTTAGGCTTTTTGGGGACAGAGACGTTGGCAGACCAGAAAAGGACCTTTAGAACTGGAACCCCGATTGTTCCACAGTCAGCTCAGTGAAAGAGAAGTTGCGATCTGTATCCTTCCAGGGATGCTATCCAGGCCCTCACTAAAGTGAGAAATGGGAGGAAATTAAGTTTCTTCCCTGCCAGATTGTCACAGGGAGGGTTCATGCATTTAGAATGACCTTCCAGAACATTCTGGAATGCCACTGAGACCGGGATGGAACAAATACAGCGTATGCCCATATCCTACATTCTATATGGAAGAACGCAAGGCAGAGAGATCTCTGGGAAAGAGGAAAGACACAGAAAGTCACAATGCTTTGATGACCCCCCTACGCTCAAGGTCCTGCGCCCCCTTTACCCACTGGTCCTTGTCATGGTCCTCACAGTCCCCAGGTCAATGGTGACCAAAGACATTCCTCTGCCAGGCGTGGTGCACACACTTATAATCCCAGCATTCAGGAGGCTGAGGCAGGAGGGTCACTGTAAGTTCAAGGCCAGCCTGGGCTGCATAGTGAGACCCTGACTCAAAAAACAAAAGCAAATTTTAAAAAGTTCTCTAATCTTTAACTCCTGTGGTGCCTGTCCTTTCCATACAGTGTTTCTATTTCTGGACTGCATTCGTGTGTATCCGTGTTAATCACAAAGAAGATGGAAGAGGTGGCTGGTGACAGTTCATTTTAATTGTCTTTAGCTGCACCTGTGGGATTCGCGGTCAGTGGAGCTTGATTCCAATTTCAGGTTCTCCTCCTTTCTAGGCATGTGAGTGTGGACACACATTTGACTTTTCTAAGCCTCAGTGTCCTCCACCATAAAATGGGCAAAATGTAGGAAAAACAAGCAACATAGTTGTGAGTATTCTACAAAATGAAACTATGTGCAGGCTGCCAGCCTTCATCTGAAAAACGGGAGGCCAATGTGTTACAGAGTTTAGAGTGATTTACACTTTGGAAAGGTAATTAATTCACACAGATAACGCTTTATCCAAAATTCCCAGCATGTAACCACACACCCTGACTTTTGTTGTAGCAAACATAGGACTATTCCTACAGTTTTTATTATAAATGAATATGAATAGCTCTCTGGGGGCTGGGGATTTAGATCAGCTACACAGCGCCTGCCTGGCAAGCGCAACGTCCTGAGTTCAATTCCCAGTACCGGGAAAAAATAAATAAATAAATAAACAAATAGCTCTCTGTCAGTTCAGGTCACATTTGAAGCCAAATAAGTTGGGGCCAAATTTATTTTTTAATTTTTAATTTTTTTTTTTTGAGACAGAGTTGCCCTGTGTAGTTCAGGCTGCCCTTGAACTCTCTATGTAGCCCTGACTGGTCTCGAACTCAAGATGGTCTTCCTGCCTCAGCCTCTTGAGTGCTGGGATTACAGGCGAGCACCACTAGGCCTGGCAGTTTGTGGCAGATTTAGAGGAAACCTGTAAGAGGGTTACACTTGATCAAGTGAGGTACCAAAAGGTACTCAAATTCTAGGCTTTAGATTTTTCAAAGCATAGAACAGAGTCTAGTGTACAGCAAGGCCTTTGAAACAGTGTAAACCTTCTATCTAAGCATTACCTTTCATCACACACCGTGCACTCTTCTTGCATATTAAGTCATGTACTTCAATCAAAAGTCTTTCAGGTTGAGGTTATTATTATTACAAAGAGGGGTACGAACAGAACCTAGTTCCCTATTTGGCTACACGGTTCAGCTGTAGTGCCGGGATTTGACCTCGGAAGCCAGCTGCAGGGCCTGTGCTTGGGACCTCAATGTTCTAAGGTTAGATGGTGCTCTCTTTTTGAGGTCAGAGCTGAGTCTAGTTCTTATTCCCACATTGCAGGGGAAGAAAGCATGGTCACACTGAAGCTGATCTCGCACAATCGCACATTGACTCATTTGTATCCGCCTTATTTCACCAAGAGTTGAGGCTGCAATTCCAATGATTAACATCAATAATCAAGGGACTGGAGGGAGGAGGAGATGAGTGGCTCTTGGACTAGATTACTTTTACTGCATGTGTGTGTGGCCTGTGGGTGTGCCCTGTGGGTGTCGATGGCAGTTTTATTTTGTGGCTCTTTGGGCCTTGCGTAGCCCTCAAGTCCTCTCATCTGACGGTTAAGTTTGTTTGTTACCCCGTGTCTCCGGTCTGTATTTAGGTGCCATCCCTGATTTCTTCCCCAGGTTTACTTCAAAAACAAGCTGAAGCTGGCACTTATCGGCCAGAGCCTCTTCGGACAGGAAGTCTACAGCCACCTCCGCAAAGAGGGCCACCGCGTCGTGGGGGTGTTCACGGTTCCAGACAAGGATGGAAGAGCTGACCCCCTGGGTGAGTGCATCTTGGGAGACTGGGTTAAGAACTCTCGCTTTGGGCTTGGTGGCAGAACTGCAAGATGCATGCCCTTTACGTGCGATTTTGGCATTGTCTAGACAGTGCTTCCATCTCGCAGCCCGTGGTGGCTGCTTCACTCTCAGCAGTTGGGTCTGCATCCCAGCCAGCAGCCTGGGGAAGAGGGAAGTAGAGGGGAAGCCCTTCATCTGCACACACGGCATGTATTGCTGTCACTCGTGTCCCCTCTATTTGCAGGACAGGAGAGCCTGAGAAATAGAGATTTTGTTGAGGGTGGCTAATCCAGGGGAGTCCTTTGCTAAAAGATGAAGGGGCCAGCTAGTAGTTCAGAATTGTAAACCTGTGACTTTTAGACCTCACTTCAGAATGAATCCTGCGAAACGAATCCTTTCTTGGTTTCTGGACCCAGGGCCTGGGTCCCCCTTCCCACTGGTCCTGGCCATTTGGACTCATGACATAACCCAGGCAAGAAAAAGAAGGGATCCAACTTCTAGAGCAGGCTGGGGCAGGGGCCGGGGTGTGGCTAGGAGCGTGTGTTCCGCAGCCGAGGGATTAATACTGACACTGGCAGCTCTGGCTGTGAGCCCGGGCAAGGGGACCTTCCCAGCCTTCGGCTCCTGGAGCCCGGCTCACGTGGCTGCCGTGAGGAGCGAGTGAGGTGTTGCTCCCTCGAGGAATCCTGGCACTGCACGGGGCTCACGCCAGACAATCAGGAGTGACAGTAGCTGACCGTGCCTGTCAGGATTGTGCACCAGGGAAGCCAGAAATAGCCCGAGACAGCTACAAGCCAAAACAGGAGCGCAACCCATGGACCCTCCACCCGTTTCACAGAAGTACACTTCCTAGAGAAGCCACCCCCTCCTCCACTCTATTTAAAACCTTAAAACCTTCCGCAGCCTTCTCCCGTTACCACATTGTAATCACCACATACAGGTTTTCCTGTCATATGGCACGGGTCATGCTTCTTGGACATCCACGAACATTCTCATTCTGTGAATGCCGTCATGTCGGCGTCTCCAGTTCTTCTGAGTGGATTGGTGAGGCCCTGACCCTGACGGCCAGAGTCCTCCAGGACTTACTTGAGCTGCAGAACTTAGGTTTCTAAGTGGCAGAGAAGTCATCATGTCCTGAGTGGATGAATGTTGGTGATTGGATGGGGGAGCGAGCAAAAGGGACCAAGAAGTGCAGGTGAAAAGCTTCAGTTAAGGTGACCGGAAATCAGCCCTGTCAGGATGGGAAGAGTGATGCCTTCTGCTGGGGCAGCCACGCTGAACACTGCTGGTGGCCTCCTGCCTCTGCCTGCTGGAGGTGGGCATCGCCTTCTGGGTCATTCTCAGAGTGGTGTACACAGAGGTTGACTGGAAGGTCTGCATGGTCCAGGCAGAAGGCATCATTAATGGCACTGCACACAACTGCAGGGTGACCCTGGAACAGTCGTCTGCCCAGCTGGCGTTGTGCATCTCCTTCCGGGGCTGTACCACACCGCTGGCTGGGCACCGACATTGCATGGCCGAGAACGTCTTTGCTGTGCTTTCCCGGACACACTGCCGCTTATTTTGATCTACACCAGGCCTGCTGCGTCTCCCTTCGGCTTTTCCTTCACGTCTGCCCCTCATACCGCGTCCACTGCATCTTTGTGCTGTGGCTCTTCAGCGATCCTGTGGCTGTGGAGCTGCTCTTCCTGCCACGACTGGGGCTGGGCTGCTGCCTTTCCAGCCTGGCGGTCTCTGTGAAGATGAGTGTGCTGCTCTTCGCCCCTGGGATACCCCTCCTTCTCCTCATGCAGTTTGGCGTCCGTGTTGCCTCCCCCGAGCTGGGCATCCATGCTGTCCTTCAGGTGGGGCTGGGTCTGCCCTTCCTGGTTACCAGCCTCACCCCTACGACCCCAGCCACCACTTTCTCTTCCGGTGGGCAGTGCACTGGACTTCCTTCCGGAAGCGCTCTTCCTGCACTGCGCCTCCCACCGCTCCGCTGGCTGCCCGCCTCCCTCAGCCTGCGCTTGCTGTTTGCCCTCTGCAGGGGGCACAGGACGGGAGAGAGTACCCTGTCACTGCTGAAGGATCCCCTGTAAGGGAGGTCCCAGCCCCGCCGCCCACACCCAGGCAGACTGCTCCTGCCCTCCTCACCTCCAGCCTCACTGGCACCTGCTTCGGCTGCTTCCTGCACCACCAGCTCCTTGTGTGGTGTGTCCACGCACGCCTTTACCTCCCAGGGCCACTGCTTCTGCTCCGGTGGCTGCTGCTCGCACGCCTCGAGCTCTCCTGGAACACGCGCCCGTCCATGTCCCACGGCTCTGCCACCCTGCACGTGTGCCCTGCTGTCACCCTGCGCAGCTCCAGCTGGCCCTCAGCCTTTCCTTGAGCGCATCTGGCACAGCAGGAAACCCATGGGACCTGACCCTTGCCTACAGTCCATGCAGGACTGGTGGACTCTGCCCTTCTGAATAAACCTTGCCACATGCAAACAACAACAGAAGGTTGCTATAAATGGCCCAGAACACATATACTATGCTATATAATGTGTAATAGTATACACAAAACATGTTTGTATACATAAAACATATAATATGTAATAGTATACACAAAACATATTTACTATATGATATAATATGTAATAGTATACATAAAACATATTTACTGTATGTTGTAATATGTAATAGTATACATAAAACATTTGCTATATGTTATAATATGTAATAGTATACATAAAACATATTTACTATATGCTATAATATGTAATAATATGCATAAAACATGTTTACTATTACCATACATATTTAAATAGTAAGTATATATGGTATATTTAATATAGTATATATTCATACATTATGTTTATATATAATAACATCTATCAATATAAAATATATATCAATAAGCAATAGTATTAAAATATGACATTCATATGTGCTATTTGTATAAATACAAGTATGATAAAAATATGGTGACTATTTAAAATAAAAATAATGACTACAATAAAAGACACACTGACATTAATGCTCCTGAAGATACTACTGTTGGCTTTCAGCACACTCATCCCACCATTCCGGCCACTTCCTGCAGCAGCTCTGGAGTCCTCTTTCCTGAGTGTCTTTAGTTGTGCTGTTCTGGGTGCCTTGATGTCCTGAATGGATTCAAAACATTCACCTTTCACGGTCATTTTGCCCATGGGGAAGAGCCAGAAACCACACAGTGCCAGATCCAGTGAGTAAGGTGGATGAGGACACCATCATATTTGTATTTGACTGAAATTCCCAAAAACATTTTGAAGCAATTCAGGAAATTGAGGCAGCCACAAAGAGACACGAGAGAAGACTTCCAGAATTGCTTCAGAAAGCAGAAGGAAAGGAGGAATAAATGTGTTGGAAGTGAGAGGGATTCGTGGCAATGCATCTTTTACTGTAACAAATTAAAACTAAAATTTTAAATATCCGCTCTATTTTTTGTCACAGCTCATATATACATACTAAGTACGCACGCTGAGCATCTCCGGGCTGTAGTAGAATGACTTCCTATCATGGAGAAGGCAGGTGGTGCTCTCTCCTGCGACGGCCGCCTGTTTCCACATGGGGTCGGGACAGAGTCCCTCGTCTGGCAGAGGGCAGTGCGTCCCTTGGGGAGGAGACACCGCAGTGTCCCCGGCTGGCCAGGCCTGTACAGAGAGCTGAGTGTCTAGTCTCCCGTTCATCCTCTCTCACTGTTAACTTTATCTTCTGGGGAATTTGGAAGAAGGATATAGCGAGCCCTTTCTGGGCCTCATCAAGGTCTGAGAAGTTCATGTTTGTAATCCCGTGGAGAGGTTATTGTAATTCTAGCGAGTTCATTCCAGTCTACCACTTCCAGTGCAACCCATGGCGATAATGAAGACAATGAAGCATGTTTGTAGTTGTGGGGCGCAAGGGAGGGGGTCCTAGGTCCAGCTAGGATAATGGCTAACGGGAACAAAGACCCAGGGCTGAACCCAGGTTTTATTCATTCCTGAAAGGAGTGGCTTAGGATGAGTGACTGTGAGAAAGGCAGGAAGCATGTGAGTGCTATGAGCTGGGCTAGGTAGGAGGCCCCAAATCCCCTCTGTGGTATGCAGAGAGTAATCTGCGGAACACAACTGAGGTAGTATGTGATGTTTTGGGGTCTGTGCTTTCGCGCTGTTATATAACCTTTCATGCCCTGGGAAGTCATAGCCTCTTATCTCGAGTTTCACCTCCCCACAACTCGCACATATTTTTGGGAACTATAGGCAGAAAACACTGCCCTGTCCCTTGCTTCAAAGACTGCACATCAGCACCTGGCTGGACCAATCTGCATTCCTTAAAGTCAACTGAAGGGATAAGAAAAAGCCCCAGCCAGCTCTGTACATACCCATACATGGAAACAGGGCCAGGTTCAGCCTAAATGGAGACAAGTGCTCTTCTTTCAAGGAGAGTCGTCCATATGGTCCTCCGCAGAAGGACAAGCTCAGCTGTCTGGGATCTGCTGCTTAGCAGGAAGAATGTGTCCTGCGTGGGTAGGGGGCGACATAAGGTTTTCCCACTGTGCTGGAGGCTGAGAATATTTAATTTGGGGCTGAGGTGTTGCTACTGGGCTCCAGATCTAAAGCTATGTTCTTTAAAGGTCTGTATCGGTAATAAAGGTATTTTTTTTTCCCTTATGGTGTTGGGGTTGAAACCCACACACTTGCTAGGCAAGCACTCTACTACTGAGCTACATCCCCAGCCTAAGGACACCAGTTTTGATCTAAAAAAAAAAAAAAGGAAAAAGCTGTTAAAACCTCAAAACATCTAGCCACAAGAGTTTGAGTTCAAATATATTTTCAACATATAGATAAACTGGGAAAGATGGCACGTGCCTGTAATCCCAGCAATTGAGAGGTTGAGGCAGGAGGATTGCAAGTTTAAGATCAGCTTGGGCTGTGCAGCAAGTTCAAGGCCAGCCTGGACAACATAGTGAGATTCTGTCTCCAAAAAAAAATATGCTTCAGTGTTGTCTTGGTTACTTTTCTTGTTGCTGAGACAAAATACTTGACACCTAAAGTTAAAGAAGAAAGGTTTGTTAAGCTCACAATTTGTAGGCGTTTCAGTTCATAGTTGGCTGGCTCCAAGGCAGAGTAGCCTAATAGAGGGGCATCGCAGAGGAGAAACAGTCCATGGCAGGCAGAAGGCAGAAGGCAGCAAGCTACAAGCAACAAGTGTCAATAGCAGCTTCTTTCTATTTACATTCTATCTAGCTACCCCATTAGAGTGGGTGGCACTCACACCCAGAACTCTGCCATACCAATCACTGAACTGATTTAGTAATCACACATCCTTAATCCCAGCACCATACACTCTAGACTCAGCCAGCTCTGAAAAAGCCCGGCCTACGACTGCATAGGTTTGGGGGACATCGAGCTACAAGCCATAACAAATGCATAGGTAAATATCACATTAGAAAAGTGGGTGGAGCATGACTTTACATCAAGTTCTCGTCACAACCTAAATTGCTTTTCACCATGTTTTATTTGTAAATGTTTCAGGAAACTGACGTACAATGTGCAAATCCAGTGATACAGTGGTACCTCAGTACTTGTAATGAATTGGTCCCCGGGGGCACCATGAGTTCCAAACCAGTTGTTTTGGCTGGAGAGGATAGTGAGTCTCTCCAGGAAGCAAGAAGTTCTAGCTTGTACCAAGTACCAAATAAATGAGCGGCGGGACAAAATTTTCACGTCAAAATGCATGGAGAACCAAATTCAATGAGTTTGAAAGCAGTGAGGCCCAAGGTGTGACTGTAAAACGAGGGTTCATTTTGAAAGATGGACACAGCCTTGTTTGTCGTTCTCAGCTTTGGCTGCAGAGAAGGACGGGACACCTGTGTTCAAGTTCCCCAAATGGAGAGTCAAGGGCAGGACCCTGCAGGAGGTGGCGGAGGCCTACCGAGCCGTGGGGGCCGAGCTGAACGTGCTTCCCTTCTGCACGCAGTTCATCCCCATGGACATCATCAACAGCCCGAAGCACGGCTCCATCATCTACCACCCCTCCCTGCTGCCCAGGCACCGGGGCGCGTCCGCCATCAACTGGTGAGTGGTTTAAGCAGCAGATGCCACGTGTCTGTTTCTGTCACCCTGATCCTACCTCCGTAAACCAGCTCTGTGAGGTCTTGGTGGGTTGCTTCAACTGCATCCGCTCCCTTGAGATCTACACAAACTGTGCAAGCCAGGACTGCACTTCCTGAGGATCCTCTACGGTGAATCAGTTCCGGGGAGCACACCTAGGAATTCAGCCAACAAGGTTCTCTGGGCTGCTAAGCTGGGCTTCTGCTTAATTTCTTTATCACAGAACTTCTTTGGGTTTTTAACCTGTGCCTTACCCTGGGCATCAGAACCTCCAAGATGGAATCTGAGGGCATGGTGTTCTCAGACTTACTTGACCACAAAACATGTTTTGCGTAAAGGATCGCAAGTGCATTTCAGGGCGTGCTGAGCTACCCGAATCATCTTCTTTGTTGCCATCTTTCCTCACTGGACTTCAGCTGCTTGAGGAAGGGCTTTGTCTAACATTTTACAGCTGTTTGGGGAGGAGTGGCAGTTTTTGTGGCCACACGCTAGTGCCTGATCCCATGGGTACACATTTGTGATATGTGGGTGATGTATACTATTTTAACCTTCTTGCCTTTATCTGCTCATCTTTCTGATGACCCCTCAGTGTCAAATTATTAAGTACAAAATCTACCCTGGGTTGAAATGTGATAAAAAATGTTTTGTCACATTTAAAATTCAATTACATGAATTTATTTCTGTTTTGCTCTTGTAAATAAAACTGCGGTAGATATCTTTGCACTTACATTTCTATTTTTTCTCATGTCACATTATTTCCACATGCAGAATCATTGAGCCAAAGCGTATCAATATTTTCAAGACTCTTGATGATGTAATTCCTCAAGACTTCTGAAAGGAGTGATTTATTGAATAATTTCAGTCTTTTTTGATCCATAGTTTGGAGAAGTAAAAATGATTTCAATCACGGAAATTGCTGACCTTATACTCTCTATGTTAACCTTCTCCCTGACATGTGTCATAGGCATCTGTCCACTTATCCAGCATATTCTTTGAACTATATGCTCCTTTAGGGCCAAGCTAAGCTTTTCTCATAGGCTAAACTTTACAGAGTACAAAGGGCAAATAGTTGGATTGATCCACTCACTTTTTTGTAGTCTATGTAGACAGTCTTGAACCAATCCTAGTCCTACTTGAAGTTTACACCTCAATTATAAAACCAAAATTAATCATCAGTTCTCCTCTTCATATTGCACTGAATATATTGTTTTATTTTATTTTCCATTCTTATTCTCCTAATCCAAGGTCAAGTACAGTGTAAGAACTGGACCCAGGTGGGAAAATTACTTGCCTCTGAAGTAGGAAGCCAAGATGTGGAAGTGAATGACTGCTATTACCGATGGATTGTAACACACTTTAAATTCACTACAAGTCTGTGTTGTATGACAGACAAGAAAGGCTGCAGATACGAGAATGCATAGAACATCAGCATCATTAGGTGCTGCTTTCTATGGGCTCTAATATTTCCCAGATCTACTGTTCATTTCTCAAGGTCACTTTGTTCCCAGTCTGTTTTTCCATTGTAACCACCTACTTCTTTAGTATTACTAATTCTTCATTGGATGATATGCTTAACCAACATCATATGTTGAAATCTCCTTCTCACAGGACTCTAATTATGGGAGATAAGAAAGCTGGGCTTTCTGTTTTCTGGGCTGACGACGGTTTAGACACAGGGCCCATCCTTCTTCAGCGATCGTGCGAGGTCAAGCCCAATGACACAGTGGACACGCTTTATAATCACTTCCTCTTTCCTGAAGGAATCAAGGCCATGGTCAGTATGCTTATGCCATCAAGAAGAACTTAGCACACCTTTAAAATTTTAGGAGTATTTTTCTTTTATTAACATTTGCCATATGGATTTTCATTAAGAATGTTAGGATAAAAATACATTTCATATTTAGCAGTGTGATGGTACATTTAGGGTAGACATTGGAACTTTAAAATTTCTTAGTCTGTGATGCTGATTTGTTCCTCTTACAGCCGTGATGAAGTGGACGAAATAGCAGTTAAACTGCTTCATTTCTTTGACCAAATGCTTGAGTTTCCAACCCTGTTAATAACGACTAATTGTAAAGTGCGAAGAATCTTAAAGTTTGCTGTATAACTTGGCCCTCTGTGTGAGTGTTGTGGTTTTTATCTAAATGTACCCCAATGCCCCAGCACTCAGAGCTTCTGGAAGGATCACCTTCTGGAAGGTGATCTGTTTACGGGGGCTCATTGCTGACTTCCTGCTAGGGGGCGGGGTCTGGTCAGAGGAGCTCGGCCACTGAGTGTGTGCCCGGGAGGGTGTTTCTCCCTCCCCGTGTCCTCCCTGCTCTCTCTGCTTCCTGTCTGACGTGAGGTGAACAGCTTTTCCTCCTCCACGCCCTTCCCCCATGCCTTCTTGCTTTGGATGTGGCCAGCTATGGGCTAAACACATGAGCCCAAATTAACTTCTCTTTTTACTTGTGGGGGTAGGGTACTGTGTCTCAGTGACAAAGAAAGTGACTAAACAGTCACTTGAAAGAAGCACGTTAAAAGAGTGAAAGGTTTATTTCGGCACATGGTTCCTGAGGTCTCAGTCCATGGTTGCTGGGCGCCCTCACTCTAGGCCCAAGAGGCAGAGCATCATCACAGGGAGAGTTTGGCAGAGCACAGCTGCTCACCTCATGGTGACCCAAAAGGAGAGAGAGAGAGAGCTGGGACCCCAATATCCCCTCGAGGGCAGGCCCCCAGTGACTTGTTTCCTCCAGCCAACCCCTACTTTTTTCCCCAGAGTTGTGTAGTAGAAGCTGCAAGATTCTGTAAAGTAGATTTAGGAGGGAGGGTTTGTGTCACTTAATGGAGAAGAAAGAAGGGCTTTGGTGTCAGAACGACCTAGCTCCAAGTTCACATCTTACAGCTTGTGGAATGACACATTGGTATATGATGATAGGCAGGTCACGTGGCCTCTTCACCGTCAGTTCTTGCACTTATAACATGCGGATAATACTACCTGACTTGTTGAATTGTGAAAACTAAACCACTGTATTTGTGCCAAGCATCTGGAGCAGAACGAGTGCTCAAAACTGGTCATTATCGTTGAGATGGTACGATGGCCTTTCCGTGGTGGGGACACCACCCACTGGCATTAGAGATAGAGGTGCACGGAGTGGGCTACACTCGGCCCTGTTGCGGGGGCTCCTGCCATGTATTCTTGGGCAGGTTGTTCATCAGCTATGAATCCTGAGAGAAAGAGATCTAAGGACGTGAGCTTACACAGCTCCCAGTGAAAGGACAGCCTCAACACACGGCAGACAGACACACAGCACAAACAGAGTGTAGGACACGTCCCGAAGGCTCCTGAGCCTGACCTTGTCCTGGAATTTATTCCTATCCATTTGTGCTTGCCCCACATAATGTTTGCAGGCCTCGTGTGGAGTCGGTGCACACACAAAACATCCTCATTCCTTTCCATCCCCTCCTCACCCTCCCCTCCCTCCACCTTTCCCACCCCCTTCCCTTTGAGAGAGGTCCATCCCCTACTTCCTATTATCTGTCTTTTATTTTGCTCTTTATTTGTATTTTGGCTTTCTCATATAACAGAAACCAGGAGATATTTAAATGAGTGTGTCTGATTTATTTCACTTAATGTTATGGTGGCAGGGTGCATCCATATTCTTACAAATGACTGAAGTCCATCCTTCTGTATGGCAGAGTAGTACTCCATTCGGTGTAAACACCACATTCTCTGTATCCATTGATCTGTGGATGGACACACAGGCTGCTTCCAAGATTTAACTACTATGAATTGTGCTGCTATAAACAAGTGTGCTCGGATCACTGTGATACGATGTCTTTGCCTCTTTCTAGAAGGCACCTAGAAGGGGAATAGCTGGGTCAGATGGAACTTCTAGTTTTAGTTTTTTGATGAACTTCCATACTGACTTCCACTTTAACCTTTTTTTCCAAGTGTCCTAAGCTAGAAAGCAAGTTGAACTAATCAAATACAGTAGCACACCACCTTCTAGAATCACCCCAATCAGCACAGTCACCCACAGCCGCTTGTGTTATGTTCATGCTTCTGAGATTTCCAGGGAACCGCCAAGGAGGGGCTGGTGTTGTTTCAGCCCAAGAGTCTTTCTGTGGGGGCTTGGCATGTGCTAAGCATGCGTTCTACCCCAGGCCGCACCTCTGCCCAACAAGGGGTCACTTGTGGGTGCAGGCAGTGGACAAACCCGAGTACAAGTCCTGCTTCTAACCCCCAAGGTATCTCTGTGATCTGGAGATACTCGCTTAGCTTTTCCTTAAACCACAGGTTTCTCATCTGTAAAACAGGAATAATAATATCCACCCTGCTGAATTTGTGTGATGTTTGCAAAGCACGTTTTTGTTTTTGTTTTTGAGACAGCATCTCCCTATGTAGTTCACGCTGGCCTTGAACTCACCACGTAGCCCAGGCTGGCCTCAGACTCACAGCAATAGTCCTGCCTCTGCCTCCCAAGTGCTGGGATTACTGGCATGTGCCACCACGCCTAGCCTCAAGGGATGTTTTACATAAAGTAGCTACCACTCTTTCTGTGCTTGGCACACAGATAGGTCTGACGAAATGACAGTTATCATCACAGACTGACTCTTCAGGCCACTGACAGCGAAACATTTAGACTCTCGATGATAACGAACAGCCTCCTGCAGTTCGTGTGCCGTAAGTTCTCCACCACTGCTGCAGGCAGACTGATGGGTAGTAATTCTGCCCAGCACAAGCAGCCCAGGCTGTGGGTGAGCTGCGCTGTGGCACAGGTCCTGTTCTTGGCTTTAGGTAGAAGCCGTGCAACTCATAGCGGATGGAAATGCTCCTCGTACCCCCCAGCCAGAAGAGGGGGCGACCTATGAAGGGATCCAGAGAAAGGCAGACGCTGAGGTATTTATGTCCACTCCGGAAGGCCTCTCCACACCCAGGGCCCTCTGCCTTCACGCAGTCCTGAGCTACCATTTCTGAGCCAGAAGCTCGGCACTTGGGCCAACCTGCCCAGGCCTCCCCTCTGCACCAGGGGACAGGAAGGTGACTGCGGCCGTGGGCACTCAGGGCCTGCGTTTGTACCACCCTAGATTCGCTGGGATCAGCCTGCCGAGGTTTTACATAACTGGATCCGAGGTCATGATAAAGTCCCCGGAGCCTGGGCGGAGATAAATGGACAGGTATGTCTTGGGGGCCGCATCCCCAGGTTATTACAAAGACAGGCCCTGGGTGGGGGTGCTGCAGCCCCTCTCCTCTTTACTCAGCACGGCTGGGACACGTGTTGGGAAGCTTACACCAGGCACAGCCTGGCACCAGCTCAGTGAATCAACCCAGACGGTGCCATGAAATCAACACCGGAATGGAGGGTACCTGAGTATGTGGGGAGGGTACCGGAGGAGCTGGCGGCATTGCTGGGACTTGCAAAAGAAGGAGCCAGGTGGAGAGAAGGAGGGAGCGGGTGTACAGCACTTCCTGTGAAGGGACTTTCAGGGGAGTCCAAGGACGTGAGGGCGCTGAGGCAGGAGATGGCGGTGGGGCCGGGCACAAGGCAGCTTCTGTCCTGAATCCTCTAGGGAGTTCCTGGCCTCCTCGCCCGGCAGGGTAGGGCCCCCTGTCCCCTGGCGCCAGCCACCTCAGCCCAGAGCGTTGCATGGGGAGGGGCCTCTGCACCCCAGCCCCCTGGACGGAAGCCAGGGCTCTGTGTTACTGTCTTCCACCACCAGACCCGTACAGGAGTCCTGGCACATAGTAGATACCAGTAAAATGTGTGCGCCACCAAGTGACCCCAGCGGGAAGTCCAGTGTAGCCACAAAGACTGTGACATCCGAAGCAGACGTTTCCATTAAAGCTCTAGCTCTGCCACAACTTTCTGGAACCTTAGGCAGGTGACCCAAACCTCAGGACGCCTTGTTTTCTCGCCATAAGGTAGGCGGGATAACCCTGGCTCTCTCTGGTGAAGATTAAAGGAGTTAATATGTGCTAAGGCCGCACGTACTATACTAACTGCTGCAGTCTGGTGAATGCCAGCCGGGGCCTGCGGAATTGCGATAATGAGCCAGCCGGGGCCGCCTGCTCTTGGCTGCAGCCTGGATCCAGTCTGGTTTTCATGAACTGACCCAAGAGCGCCCTGCCCGGCTCACCCCTTTACCAGTGGCACCCTGCACACCTCCCACCCGCTGAACCCTGCTTTTCAGATCACAGGGGCTTCTCACCTCATTCTCCTTTGTAAGAATTTGAATACGCAGTGAAGGTCTGCCTACGCACTGCCTGCGCGCAGGCGTTCTTGAACACCTCCGGCCACACCTTTGTAGGTCTCTGGCTTTGTGCCACCGCTGCAAGCCTCGCCCCGGGCGCGCGCACCGTGTTAGAGTTCATGATCACAGCGAGGTCGCGCCTCGGTGTCATGGTGGGTGACGACGTCAGCCTCGGTGTTTTCTCCAGGGTGATGTTTATTCCCCTGCGGTCTCTACCAGGTGGTGACTTTCTACGGCTCGTCCTTGCTGAGCAGCTCCGTGCCTCCCGGAGATGCCCTGGACATCAAAGGTGCGCGGCAGCCTGGGCTCGTCACCAAAAGCGGACTTGTTCTCTTCGGCAGTGACGGGAAGGCGGTGAGTATGCAACACGGTGCCCCAGGAAGGGACTCTTGGTCTCCAGGAACCCCGGCTGAAAGGGGTCGGCGTTCACAGGTCATCTGGCCTGGCCCCGGGGTGTGGGAGGCGCAGGTTACCTCTGCCCTTTTCCTCTCTGGCAATAGCTGCCTCTGCGTCCCCGCCGGTGCCGAGGTGACTCGGGATGGGCCCGGGGTCTGCTCTGATGCAGAAGGAGAGGGCGGAACTGCTCACCGCCCTGCTGGCTGGACGGCGCCACCTAGTGGCCCATCTCTGGAGGACTGGCTCTGGGCCTCAGCAGGGAAGTGTGTGGCACTGGGCAAACTGCTGCGTCTCAGTGAGCCTCCGCTTCTGCCCCAGTAAAACGTGTGATCACATCGGATGCCCCCAGGTTTCTGAGGTGAAGGAAGATGCCCTGGCCCCGCACACACTGCGGTGCCACCGAGCCACGGCGGGTGATGCTGGCGATGGAGACCTGGCTCGTCCCGGTGTCCTTTGTTAAAGCAGGTTCAGCCCGGATACCTGGGTCCCCCGCGGCCAGCGTCCGGACTCGACTTGCTCCTTGCTGCCGCTGTTACAGCACCATGTCAGGGCTTTCACACGGAACACCGAGTCCTTCTCTCCCTCCTCTTTGTATTTCTGAACACGGGGGCCTTTCTGCACCCTGGACAGGACCCCTCCTCCCCGCCTCGCTCTCGGGCTCCCCAACCCTCAGCTTTCACGCCCGCTTTGCTCTGCCTTGCAGCTGATGGTGAGAAATCTGCAGTTTGAAGACGGGAAAATGATTCCTGCCTCCCAGTACTTTTCGGCAGGCGAGGAGTCAGCAGTAGAACTCACAGCCGAGGAGCTGGAGGTGGCGGAGACCATCAAGGTGACCCGCGGGCCCTTCATCTCCCTCGCACCTGGGGAGACGAGCACATTCGTGATGGCATCGGTGCCCTCGGGTAGAGGGGAGGGAGCTCGGTTTCCTATTTTTGTGTAAGTTGCGGAGGGAAACGAGCTCCGAAGCGTCCGTGTGTGCACACCACGTGCCTGCGTAACCCAGAGCTGCTCGGCTGGGCTTGGGCCGGGGCCGGGGCGCTGGTCGGAGGTGGGCGCTGGCTGTCTTGTGCTCAGGGTCCTTGCACTCAGGCAGCCAGCAGGCAGGAGCGCAGCGTCACGGGCCGAGGTTTCCGGGGCCGGGGCAGGGCCCGTCGCCCCACTCACACCCACCGGCTGGGACGCGGCCAGGCCATGCCCAAGAGAGCCAGGCCTGGGTGTGGGAGCTCCAGCCACCCTTCCGAGGGCGCCTCCCTCACACGGGCCTCTCCTCCACACAGGTCATCTGGGCTGGAATTTTACGTAACGTCCGCGTCATCGAAGCCTCCACAGACTTCTTTAAATCCGGAGCAAGCTCAATGGACGTGGTGAGGTAAACCCGCCACCTACTCGGCCCGAGCCCTTCCTCGCGGACTCTGACTCGCTGGCAGCCCCAGTGCTGGAGGCCATCCCTACCCCACCTGTCCTCCGCTCACCTCTTTTCACCTTTGAGCGGGCCCACGGCCCCGCGCGTTTACAGCACCTGCCTCCTCCTCTCACGTTGCTCACCAGAGTGGCTGTCGAATCTCCTGTGGACCTGGACAACCAACCTTCCTCTCACCGCTGGCCGCTTGTAAACATTTGTCCTTCCATATAGTAGATGATTTTCCCCCAGTATGGAGCTGGGACTGAGAAGCTGGAGAGGAACTGTCCGGGTCTGATCCACGGGGGGCCTGTTGTGGATTACGCTTCCCCCCAGGCTGCTTTCCCCTGTCCTTCCAAGGACCCGGTAGATAGGTCTAGAATGAGAGTCATCAGGCTACTTGCACAAGTAGGAGCGATCGCCCTGTTGTGAGAATTTCCCGCAGGCCAGGGCTCCAGGATGAGTGGCCCTGAGAATATCCCTGTCCGCTCAGGCAAGGAATGCTCCAGGGTCCTACTACCCAGGGTCTTGAAGAAGTGTTTTTTCTTTGGATAATTTTTCCGGCATAAGGAGACCCCTGGGGGTGAACCAGGGGCTGTGAAATCCGTGAGGGTGGGTGGTAGCTCAGGGGCTCAGGATCCCTGGCCACAGAGCAGCCGTTCACAATGAAATGAGGAAAGATGAGCCTTCCCTTGACACAGCCCCAGCTCCTCTTATTTATTCATCTCTTCACTGGCGTAGTTAATAACATTTATTAAACGTCTCCTACATATCAAGACAGTTTTGGGAGTGGAGACACAGTTATGAACTAGACAAAGACCCTTTGCTCAGGGAAATTTTACTCTAGGAAGCAAAAATAATCATTTCAATAACATAGTATTATCAAGAAGCAAGTTTTCTGGCTCCTCAAATTATACATTCTTAGCCAGGCATGGTAGCAAATGCCTGTATACCCAGCACTCAGGAGGCTGAGGCAGAAGGATCGCTGAGAGTTTGAGGCTATCCTGGGCTCACAGTGAGTTCAAGGCCAACCCGAACCACTCCTGTCTCAAAAACATCAACGAAAAATCATGGATTTCTTAACAATGATTCACAAGTTCTCATAAACTTCTAGTTACCTAGTTATTAAAGCTATTATTAACACTTTTCTGTGATGAAGATACTTAGAGGAGCCAGGCGTGGTGGTGCAAGCTTGTAATCCCAGCATTTATGATGCTGAGGCGGGAGAATCCTTGTGAGTTCAAGGCCAGGCTGTGCTAAGTAGCAAGACCCTGCCTCAAAAAACCAGAAAGCAAAACAAAAGATACCCGCAGAAATTACTCACTTCCTGTTGAGCGATTTGCCAGCATAATCTGATACTGTTGTATTGATAACACCATTGAGTGTCATTTTTTTTGATAACTGAACCACCTCAGCTCTTGTAAAGAATAAGGGGACCAGCACTGTCGCCAGTACAGCATCACCCTTCAAGAAATGCCAGGTGACAGCTGTCCTTGACACAATAGCTGTGGAAATCCAAGGCTTGGGAAAGACTTCAAAACTTACCCCAACCTGCAGTGTGGCTCTAGCGAGCACCTACCTGGTACGCGTGGCTCACACAGCATGTCTTATTCTTGTGCACAGGAAGGGAAAATAGTCTCTGATACCCATTCCTCACCATAGTTGCAGTGAGTTGCTTCCCTTCTCTTTCCTTGAATTCATTTGAAAAGAAAGGAATTGACTTTATGTGCCCTTTGCTATCTTGCTTGTAATTCTTTTTGCCTTTCTTTTAGTTTAGTTTAGTTTGTTTGTTTTGTTTTTTTGAGACAGGGTCTCACTGTGCAGTTCAGGCTGGCCTTCGACTCACTGTGTAGCCCAGGCTGGCCTCAAACTCTTGGTGGTCCTCCTGCCTCAGCCTCCCGAGTGCTGGGATTACAGGCGTGCACCACCACGACAACCTTTTCTTTTAGTTTTAGCCAGGCCTAACTTTTTAAAAAGGAAATCTTTGTCCTTCAAGACAGGTTTGAGTTTCCTAACCCCCAGTCTCATCAAACTTGTGACTGCTGTTGTCCTGGACAATGTCCCAGGCTGCAGCCTGGCATGTGAACCCCATAGATGCTGGCAGCAGGGTCCCCGAAACCCTGTGAGAAATGACAGTAACACAAACTGGTTCCACTTGAAGGCTGGTGGAAGAGGTCAGACAGAAGTGCGGCGGCCTCCAGCTGCAGAACGAAGACGTCTACATGGCCCCCAAGCTTGAAGACTTCATCCAGAAGGTGGTGAGAAAGCTGCGAGGAGAGGACCAGGAGGCGGAGCTGGTCGTGGATTACGTAAGCCTCTGCTTGAGTGTTCAGCTCTACCGCAGCAGATTGTGTACCGTGAGGCGCTGTGTGTCTTTTATCCCTTTGCTTTACATCAGTCACCTTTTAAAAATAGCTCTGTTAGCCAGGCATGGTGGCACACACCTGTAATCCCAGCATTCAGGAGGCCGAGGTGGGAGGATCACTGGGAGTTTGAGGCCGGTGTAAGCTCAATAGTGGATTCAAGGCCAGCTTGAGCTACATAGTGAGCTCATTGCTCTCTGTATATATATGTAATATGGACACCGTAAGATCCACCCACTTAAAATGTACATCCCAGTGGTTTTAGGGCACTAGGAATTGTGCCACCATCACCACTAATTTTGGAGCTGTCACATGGGCCCCAAAAGAAAGACTGCACACACTGGCAATCGTTCCCCTCCCCCCCCCATTCTATAGAAACCTCTCATTTCCTTTCTGCCTCTAAGGACTTTTCCATTTAGCACAATGTGTTCAAGGTTTATCTACATTGCAGCATTGGGGCCGGGGAGATAGCTCAGCCGCACAGCGCCTGGCTGGCAAGCTTAAGGTCCTGAGTTCGATTCCTGGTACCAAACAAAACAAAACAAAATACACTGCAGCATGTATCATTACTTTATCCTTTTCACTGACCAAGTAATACTCCATCACATGGTATGCTAGTTTGTTTGTCTATTTACCAGTTAATGGGCATTTGGGTCATTTCTTCCTTTAGGCTGTTATGAAAAATGCTGCCATGAAATTCATGTACAAGTGTGTGCTTACACATGTGTGGTCCGTTACCTTGGGCAGATGCCTAAGGGTGGAACCAATGAGTTGTATGGTAACTGTTTGACTTCCAGAGGAGTTGCCGAACAGTTTGCCCAAGCCACTGTACACCTTCTGTCCCCCCAGCGGTGGGTGAGAGTCCCGCTCCCAGGACCTGCCAGCGCTGGCTGCTGTCTGTCTTTTCTCCTCAGCTGTCCAGGCTGGGAAGTTGTGTCTCACTGTGGTTTTACTCAGGCTCCCTGTCACAGGCTTCTTCCCGTGTGCTTCCCCGAATTTGCTCATTATCCGCAGGGAAAGGTCTCTTCCAGGCCTTTGTCCAATTTTAATTTTTTGGTACCGGGAATCGAACTCACGACCTCACACTTGCCAGGCAGGCACTGTGCTCCTGAGTCATATCCCCGCCCTTTGTCTGATTTTAAATCGGGGCTGTCTCTTTGCTGTTGCATTGTAAGAGTCCATGGTACATTTTGGGTCCTGGATCCTCAGCGATACAGAGCTGAGTATGTTTTTTGCCGCTCTGTGGATTCCTCTCCGCTTTCTCGGGAGTGTCCCTCTCTGGCGGCCGGTTTCCACTGGTGTCCTTTTGCTACCGCGCTTTCTACCCGCCTTCTCGGAGGCCTCTTCCGTTTCCTCTCCCTTCTTTACGTGCTATTCTGTGTTAGGCAGACACTGCCTAGCGTGGCCTTTTAATCCCTTCTTGCTTCTTTTACTATTTCTTTTAAGTGGTGGCCCTGAGGGTTACAATGAACATTTTCACCAAAAACAAGGTTTTCAGATTAATATCAGCAGGACAGAGAGGTCCTGCTGAGGTCCCCTGTCCCACACCCCTCCGAGGGGCAGTTCCTGTCATCCACACCCCATCTGCGGACACTCTGTCCCCCAGCACAGCCGTAATTACTGCTTTATACCCTGGTCTTTTATATCGGAGAGAAGGAAAGAGTTAAAAACAAAAATGTTTTTATGCCAACAGCTAAATTTGCCTGTGGTCACTTTTACCAGTGCTCTGAATCTTTTTGTGTGGGTTCAAGCTCCTAGCTCCTGTCCTTTCATTTCACCCTGAAGGGGTCTATTATGTTAATAACCCCTTAGTTACTGCGGGCTGATCAGGCCCACAATCTCCCAAGTGAGTGGACAGCGAAGGCTTAAATAAATGAGGCAGTTGAAATGACTTCAGGGCTCCAGGAGGGTTCAATCCTACTACAGACTTCAAGGTTCTCTGGGTTGACCAAGAATTCCCTGGGCAGCTGTATTTATTAGGTTTTCAAATAACGGAGGGGGATACTGAAGAAAATGCAGGAATCCAGGCAGGACTTGGGAAACCCATTACGAATTCTCCAAGTAATACTTATGTGAATTTAGGAGAACTATGCTATCTCCAGAAAGGCCTTCACTGCCGAGTGAGATGCCTGCAGCTGCCGTCTCCTCTAGTCAATGGGGGTTGGAGCCAAGGGTCCTCCGCTGCGACCTTGTCTTGTCCTTTGAGGCCTGGTGGCTTCACCCACCATTACAGTCTCCGTCAGGGGTCCTTGGAACAGCAGTGCATTTCTCGGTTTTGTTCACTTGGAGAACGATTTAATTTCTCCTTTATTTTTGAAGGCTATGTCTGCTGTAGGAAGCAGGTATTATTATTCCCATTTTATTGTTGAAAAACACAAGCTTCATAGAAAGCAACTGAGGACCTTCAATCCACTGCAAGCCAGGGGTAGCATGCAGGCCAGGCGACGCTGGCAGGGAGAGAGCTCCCTGCAGAGGAGCTGCAGGAGGATCCGGCTGCCCAGATTTAGGGAAGCACGGCTGCGCTCCAGGGCGCGGCCACCGGTTGGCGGGGTCTCCGCGTCTGGAAGCCCGGCGGTGCTGAGGACCAGGGAGGGCCTCCTGCCTCAGCGGCCCGCGGGCATCTCGAGGCCCCAGCCTCACCTGCGCTTGTCTCTTCCGAGCGGAGGGAGCTCGGAGGCACGGACCCCCCGCTCCTCTGCCTGGGCGAACCAGTGTCAGTGTTGCTGCCCGGGGGCCGGGCTGATGGGCGCGGGACCCGGTGGACTCGGTCCTTGTCTTCCCACCCCTAGGTGTCCAAGGAAGCCAACGGCATGACGGTGCAGATGCCGCATCAGTGCTTCATAAACGGGGCGTTCGTGGACGCGGACGACGGGAGGACCTACGGCACGGTGAACCCCGCGGACGGCTCTGTGAGTAGCCAGGGCCTCGGTCCGTGCGCAGGGTTCTGCAGCTGCCGCCCCGGCAGCCGTCCTCCTAGCAGGGTGCTGCGGTGATCGGACCACAGCCTCCGCGCGCGGCAGGGCGCCCCTCACAGAGCTCTGCGTGACAGCAAGTCTGCAGACTGCGAAACGCTGGCTCCGAGCTCGGCCTCCCCAGGCCCCAGGGGAAATCCAGGCCGCCCAGCTGCGTTTCTCCACAGCACACGCGGCAAAGCTAGTGCCCAGTTTCAGGTCAATGGTTTTCACCTTGAAGTTGCTTCTTCTTCTTGACGGCACTACTAAAATTCTTGGGATTTTATAATACTTTTTCCTAGCTAGGTGTGGTAGTGCATACCCATAATTCCAGCAGTCAGGAGGCTGAGACAGGAAGATTGTTGTGAGTTTGAGGCCAGCCAGGGTTACATAGTGAGACCCTATCTTAAAAAAACAAACAAAAAACACCCAAATCTTTTCCTATTAGTATATTAACCTTAAGACTCACAAGAATATGCCTCTTCCATGACCTATTTTTACTTACCCTGAAATAGACAATCTGCAGAGTAGCCTACGCTTCTTTGGCGGACGTGGATAAAGCAGTAGCAGCCGCAAAGGATGCCTTTGAGCACGGCGAATGGGGAAGAATGAACCCCAGAGAAAGAGGAAGATTGATGTACAGGTGTGTTTTTCAGAAAATCAAATCTGTTACCTTTGGATGCCGGCTGACGTCGGCAGGATTTGAGAGATCCTCGCACATCCCGCTAGGGCGTGCTGTGCGGCGGTGCGGCTGTGTTACCTGCGCCCTGAGAAATGGCGCGCAGCGAGGTCCCGGTGTTTATACTGTTGCTTGTGTCGATCTTTACAAGGATGTGGGCGGGGCCCCGGGGACCGCACAGAGCAGCCCAGACAAGGATGTCTCCTAAAGCACAGGGCCGGGCCGCTAAGCGGCAGCCGAGTATCTAATCTGAGTCAAAAGTCTCTTACAGCAGGCTCGGCCAGGAACGTGGCGACTAGGGGCTCGAGCCTGGCTGTAAAGAGTCCGGCGCAGCCGAAGAGCCAGTCACTGGGGGAAGGACACTGACCGGAGGGCTTGCAAGGCAGACTTGGGCTGCTTCACAGTCATTCCACACACCTGCACTCACCTGCCCTAGGAAACGGGCACCGGACAGGACTCCGCTGTGTGTTTGTAATGCCTGCCCTATATTTCTAGCTTGTCTTCGTCAGTTAGTTTTGCAAATACTTCTATCCCAGCTAGGTATGGTGGCACATGTGTGTAATGTCAGCACTTGGGAGGCTGAGACAGGAGGATCGCTGTGAGTCTGAGGCCAGCCTGGTCTACATAGCGAGCCCCTGTCTCATAAAAACAAAAGCATGTTCCTATACCAGCCAGAAACCCACAAGTGTTCTTGGGCCTCGAGGGCAGGGGTTGCACTCTGCATGGGTCTGTGTATTTATGAACTACCCGTACTCCCACTGCCCCCCACTGTTGATCCCTGTGGCTCAGTCCCAGGCTATGTCTAACACATGCACAAGATGAGTTCTGCCTGTGTCAGCGCCCTGTGCCTCTCCATCAGAGGCCCTGAGGGGGTCCTTTAGGAAGCCCTTGCTGAACCTCTGTCTTCCCCACCAGGCCAGCGCCACGGTGGAGACCTGGCCCGACTGTGCTCTGCTCTGCATTCTCAGTTGTAGGACGGTGCCTGTGTGCACGTAACAGGGCTCTGTCAGCATTTCCTGGATGAATTTCTTCTTGGCCATGCAGACTTGCAGACCTCCTGGAGGAGAACCAAGAGGAGCTGGCCACCATCGAAGCCCTGGACTCGGGGGCCGTCTACACCCTGGCGCTGAAGACCCACGTTGGGATGTCGGTGCAGACTTTCCGATACTTTGCCGGCTGGTGTGACAAAATCCAGGTGAGCGCAGCATCTGGGGCAAAGGGTAGCGTGGAGCAGGAACCGCACCAGATAGCTGTCTGTGAGGGTTTCTCACCTGCAGGATATGGTGGTCTGAGTCTGTTCCTACTGCAAACCAGAAAACCTGGGACTGGGTGATTTACGAAGAACAGAATGCATTGTCTCACAGTTCTGTAGACTGTGCCAGCCCGTCTCCAGGATTTAGCTCTTATGAACTGTGCTGCTATAAACCTCCGTGTGCATGGATCACTGTAATCGGATGTCTTTAACTCTTTCCAGAAGGGGAAAAACTTTCCTAGAAGGGAAATAACTGGGTCAAATGGAATTTCTACTTTTTTTTTCTTGAGGCATCCCCACACTGATTTCCAAAGTGGTTGTACTAGTTTACATTCCAACCAACAATGCAGAAAGGTCCCTTTTTCCTCACTGACATTTGTTATTATTGGATTTCTTGATGATGGCCATTCTTTCCGGGGTGAGATGGAATCTCAGTGTTGTTTTAGTTTGCCTTTGTCTAGTGACCAGCGATGTATTTATTTCTTCATGTATTTATTGGTCATTTGTATTTCTTCTGAGAATGTCTATTCACTTCACTGGGCCATTTTTTATTGGGTTTTTTATTTTGAGGAATCTAATCTTTTTTGAGTTCTTTATATATTCTAAATGTTAATCCCCTCTCTGAAGAATAGGTTGCAACCATTTTTCCCCCATTCTGTAGGTTGCCTGTTCACTCTGTTGGTTGTTTGCTTTGCTGTGCAGAAGCTTTTTAATGTGATGTGATTTCATTTGTTGATTCTTGGTATTACTTCTTATGCCATTGGGGATCTGTTCAGAAAACCCTTGCCTACACCTATGTTGTTAAGGGTTTTACCTATTATACCTTCCAGCAGATTACGTGTTCCTATTTTAACGTTTAGATCTTCAATCCATTTTGATTTTAGTTTAGTGCATGGTGAGAGATGCAAGTCTAGACTCAGTCTTCTGCATGTGAATATTCAGTTTTCCTAGCACCATTTATTAATGAGCCTGTCTTTCCTCCAGTGCATGTTTTTGGCCCCCTTTGTCAAAGATTAAATAGCTGTATGTGCCTGGGGTTGTTGCTGCTGCTTCTATTCTGTTCCATTGATCCTCATGGAGGCCCATTTGGGCCAATACTGTGCTGTTTTAATCACAGTGGCTTTATAATGTAGTTTTAAAGCTGGGATTGTGATGCCTCCTCCTTTACTCTTGTTGCCCAAGGTAGCTTTTGCTATTTTGGGTCTCTTCTGATTTCATGTGAATTTTATGATTGTTTCTATAGATCTGTGAGAAATGCTGTTGGCATTTTGATTGGAATTGTGTTAAATCTGTGCATCAGTTTTGGAAGTAGGGCATTTTTATTGTATTGATTCTGCCTGTCCAGGAGTAGAGGATATCTTTCCATTTCCTGATGCCCTCTTCAATTTTCTCTTTCAGAGTGATATATTTTTGTTGTAGAGGTCTTTTACTGCCTTGGTTAGGTTCATTCCTAAGTACTTCATTTTTCTTGATGCTCTGTTGAATGGTAATTGTTTTCCTAATTTCTTTCTCAATGAGTTCATTTTTAACATATAGGAATGCTATTGATTTTGGGGTTTATTTTTTATGCTGCTACATTGCTGAATTTGGTTATTAATTCTAGGAGTCTTTTGGTGGAGTTTTTTGGGTCTTGTACATAAAGGGTTATGCCATCTGCAAATAATGATATTCTGATTTCTTCCTTTCCTATATGCATTCCTTTTATTTCTTTCTTTTGCCTGATTTCTCTGGCTAATGTTTTAAGGACTGTATTGAATAGGAGAGGTGACAGTGGACACCCTTGTCTTATTTCTGACTTTAGAGGGGAAACTTTCAGTCTTTCTCTTTAATTTAATGTCATATTGGCAGTAGGTTGGTCTTGCAATGATTCTCCTGCCTCAGCCTCCCAAGTGCTGAGATTATAGGCATGCACCACCATGCCTGGCAGTAGGTTGGTCATAATTGACTTTTATCAAATTGACATAATGTCCTTCTATACCTATTTTCTTCAGGGCTTTTATCATGAAAGGATGTTGGATTTTGTCCAGGGCTTTTCTGCATCTATTGAGATGGTCATGTGATTTTTGTCCTTGCTTCTGTTTATGTGATGTATTATATTTATTAATGTGGATCTTTTGAACCATCCTTGCATCCCTGGGATGAAGCCTACTTGATCAGGTGTATAATCTTTTTAATGATTTACTACATTCTGTTTGCCAGTATCTTAGTGAAGATTTTTCCATCTGTGTTCATTAAAGTTCTCCTTTTTGGCTGGATTCTTGTCAAATTTTAGCATCATGATATTGCTGGCTTCCAAAAATGACTTTAGGAGTACTTCTTCCCTCCTGATTTCATTGAAGAGTTTGAAGAGAATTGGTGTTAGGTCTTCCCTGAAGTTCTTGCAGAATTTTCCAGTGAAACCACCAGGTCCTAGGGTTTTCATACTTGGTATTTTTTTTTTTTTTTTTTTTTTTTACTGTTTCAGTTTTATTATCTGTTATTGGATTTTTCAAGATTTTTAAGTCTTCTTGGTTCAGTTTTAGTAATATGTATATAAATTATATATATCTTGGAATCTCCATTTCTCCTGAGTTCTCCAGTATTTTAACCTACAGGTTTGGGAAGTAGCTGCTAATAATCTTCAGGAGCTCAGGGGTATCTGTTGTGACTTCTCCTTTTTCATCTCTAATTGCATGGATTTGTGTCTTTTCTTTCCTTTTATTGGTAGGATTGACTAAGGGTTTTTCTACTTTGTTTATTCTTTCAAAGAACCAGCTCTTCAATTCATCAATTCTCTATATTCTTTAAAAAAACATTTCATTGATTTCTGCTCTGATCTTTATAATTTCCTTTCTGTACAAGATCCGGATTTGCATTGTTCTTGTTTTTCTTTGGGCTTGCTTTGTTTTTCTCATGTAGGTGTTCACAGCTATAAACTTCCCTTGTAGGAATGCATTCATTGTGTCCCATAAGATCTGCTGTGTGTACTGTCATTATCATCCCATTCTAGGAACTCTTATATCTTCTCTAATTTCTTCTGTGACCTGTTGGTTATTCAAGAGTGTGTTGTTTAATTGCCATGCACTTACATAATTTCTGTGGTTTCCTTTGCCACTGATTTCTAGTTTCATTGCACTTTGATCTCATGATACGCATGGTAAAATTTTGATTCTTTTGCGTTTACTTCAGCATGCTTTGTTAGCCAGTATATTCAAATGTTTTATTCTCTAGGGGTCTACGATTCCCATCAACCAGGCCCGTCCAAATCGCAATCTGACCTTCACAAGGAAGGAGCCCATTGGGTAAGGCAGGCCGAGCCTGAGTGGGTGAGGCCTGTGGGGTGTGTTCCTGTGAGCCCGCTAAGGATGTGCATTTTCCCACAGTGTCTGTGCCATCATCATCCCCTGGAACTACCCACTTATGATGCTGGCCTGGAAGAGTGCCGCTTGCCTGGCGGCCGGCAACACCTTAGTGCTCAAGCCGGCGCAGGTAAGCCTCGGGGCAGGTGCAAACCTTCACGCGTTTAGGAGCAGACACATTTGTGAACAGTGCTTCTTTAAACAAAAACCAGATTGTGTGCTGGGTGTGGTTGTGCACATCTGTAATCCCAGCACTCAGAGGCTGAGGCAGGAGGATCAGCATGAGGTCAGTGCCCATTGAGAGAGAGAGAGAGAGAGAGAGAGAGAGAGAGAGAGAGGGAGAGAGAGAGATTGAGAAGAAAAAGCTCCTATTGTGGGAGGGCAAATAGTCTGAGCAGAAGGAATGATGGACTTAGAAATCACCATTTGGCAACTGTCGCTGTCATATGATTCAGGCAGGAGCCAACAGTGGTCACTAAAATAAGGGGTTTCCTGCAGTGGAAGACTGGCAGGGGTCTTCGCCAAATGACCAGAGGTAGCGGCCTCAGGTAACTGTTGCCAAAAGTGCCTCACCTGACTCTCGTCAGGAGGACCTGTCCGAGGAAGTCTGGGCAGATACACTGTGTGGACTAAGTGGCCTGTGTGCTTCCAAAGGGTCAGCGCAATGGGATCTAAAAGAAAACTCGGAAACACTCCACGGGCCGGGACCGAGGGCCTCACCGAACACATTGCACACATTGCGTGCGGTTTTGCTTTTGCAGTAAAAGACGCTGTTAGAACAACTGGTGAAGCTGAACTAAAGTCTGAAATTAGAGATTCTATCAGTTGTTACTTTCCTGGTTCTGAAAACCATACTGTGGTTACGTAAAAGAATTTCTTCGTTTTAGGAGAGGCATATAGAAGCATTTAGAGGCAAATAATGCATGCTACATATCTTACTCTTAAACAGTGCAGGGCATAGGAGTAGGGGATACATAAATGATAAAGGATAGGTGGTAGATAGGTGTCTTGATTACTTTACTCTCCTTGCTGGGACAAAATACCTGATGTCCAAAGTTAAGGAAGGAAGGGTTTATTTACCTCACAGCTTGTGTAGGTTTCAGTCCATACTCAGCTGGCTCCAAGGCAGAGTGGCACATGGCAGAGGGCAACAGTTCATGGCAGCAGATCACAGCAAAAGCAACAAGAGCAGAGTGGAGGAGCGGCTGCAAACAGCCTCTTTCCCTCCCTTACATTGTATGCAAACTGTCCGCCCCAGGGCAAGTGTAGCACTCACACTCAGAATCCCAGCACTGGATCATGGATCAATCACAAACTCTAGAAGCCCGCCCCATGACTGCATGAGGCTTTGGGAGGACATCTAGACACAAACCATAGCAACAGATAATAGATGAAAATAGAGGATGGGTAAATAGAAGCTGATAGGTAGGAGATGACAAATAGATGATGGGTAGGTGGTAGATGATACATATATACACAGGTACATAGACAAGGAAGAAAACGTAGTACGGCGTTGACACCTGGCAGGTCAGGGTGAGGGATATAAAAGGAATTTTGGTAACCTTGCTGCATGTCTGAAATTATGCCACAAGAAAAAAGACACAGTATGAAACAGTGGAAGGAGCTCTCCTTCAGGCCCCTGGGAAACTGGCTGCTGGTGTGAGGGAGGGCGGGGCGAGGAAGGTAAGCCTGTCTGCCCTGCAGGTCACACCCTTGACTGCTCTGAAGTTTGCCGAGCTGTCCGCCAAGGCCGGCTTCCCAAAGGGCGTCATCAACATCCTGCCCGGCTCAGGTGAGCCCGCAAGCGGCCAGGGATGCTGCAGGTGTGAGCGGCTGTCTCCCCGCTAGAGTCCCAGCCTAGATTACAGCTACAGGAAAGCTAAATCCCGCCTACCGAGCAAGAGGCACTGTGGCTCCCGGGCTCAGAATCGCGAGCACAGGGTGGGCACTGCCGAGGTGCTGCTGGGAAGCCAGGCTCCCTGCCAGCTGCCCGGGATGGTTTGCAAGTATTGGGGCCGGTCTGGGGCTGGGCTGGGAACTGCACGGCGGATGTTATTTCAGATTTTCATCAGCTTGTAATGAACACTGACAATGCAAAACTGGGACTGAAATGAAAGCTTACCTACTTCTTAGATTCAAACCGCCCTCACCATTAGACCTGAGTCCTTCCTATTTGACCTCTGACCTTCCAGGGGGTGTGGCAGGACAGCGCCTCTCTGAGCATCCTGACATCCGCAAACTGGGGTTCACCGGCTCCACTTGGATTGGGAAACAGATCATGAAAAGGTACTGGCTTCACTGTGTGAGTTTGCTGAAGATCTGCTGACCACATCTCTACTTTTGTTTAAACAGAGCTTTTGGAGTGAGAAAAACTGCATCAGCTATAGATGAGAAATCTACTTCTTCATGCTGGATATTAAAGTATATGAATGTAATAAAAGACTCTGCAAAGCTTTAAGGAGCACTCTTAATAAAACCAGAGCTATATTGAAATCCTACCTCCTATGGGTAGCTTTTGCGCTATCCAACACAAAATTTGTTTTGTGCTGAAGATGCAGCCCAAATTATTTTTGGAGCATAAGTAAGAAACTGAAATGATTTCTATCCTGTATATGACAGATCTGGGTTATTTATAAAATGAATTCTGAACCTGGGGACAGTGGCACATGCCTGTAATCCCGGCACTTGGAAGGCTGAGGCAGGAGGATTGCCACATGTTCAAGGTCAGTTTGGACTACATAGAAAGACCTTGTCTCAAAAAACGAAAGCAAAGCAAAACAAAAGAATCCTCAAGATATGTAATATTATGTATCTTGTTTTTTTTTAAGTTGCTAATGTTTAAGTGTTTTAAAAAGTTGCTAATATTTAAGTTTCCAAAATAGGATATTAAAATATGTCAGGGTAGTAGAACACTGTAGTCACAGTCATGAAAAATTCTAGACATCGAAAATTGTTCAAGTGATAAATTGAGAGAAAAATAAGGTCTAAAATTGTCTGTGCTGGGTGATCCCAACTACGCTAAACAAGGTGAAAGCCATGGTGGGTCACAGACCAGAAACAGGTGTATCAAAGTGGTGAAAGCGTTGGTCAGGGAGCCATGGGATGGAATTTTGTGATGTTTTTTTCCTTGTATCTACATTTCTGAGCATGTAAACAACACATATCTATAGCTTGCCATCCCTGCCTCTGGTTCTAGCGTCTGGTTAGAGACCAGATTTCCTTGGCAGGACCGCGATGGAGCTCAAATTCCTAAAGAACATCATTGCATCCAGACGCATCTCTAACCGTTCACCACAGAATTTTCAGAACCCTTTCTGTTATGGAGAGTGCGTACTGTCTACAAAGCACACGGAAAAGCACGGTGAATTGCGTGCACTCCTCGTCCGCCTTCAACAGAAATCGCGGTGCTCCTGCCCAGGTCTCATCCTTGGGTGCATTTCTTGATGCTTCCGAGGCTCGGATGCGTTTACTGTGCTGAGCGGCGGCTGGTCGGGAGGGGTAAAGGCTGCTTTCCCGTGTGTTTCCCTCCAGCTGCGCTGCCAGCAACCTGAAGAAGGTCTCCCTGGAGCTAGGCGGCAAGTCCCCGCTGATAATATTCCACGACTGCGAGCTCGACAAGGCCGTGCGCTTGGTGAGAGGAGGGCGCCCCACGCCCCAGTGTCTGCTTGAAAACCCGTGTCACCTCCTTTATTGGAGGTCTTAAAATGAGGCTTGGTTTTGTGTAGCCATAGCTAGGAATCATTTTCTTTTTAATAAGAGCTTCTGAACCCGAGTGACACCGTCTTCTCTCCCGCTGCCAGGGCATGGGCGCGGTCTTTTTCAACAAAGGCGAGAACTGCATCGCGGCCGGCCGGCTGTTTGTGGAGGAGTCCATCCACGACGAGTTCGTGATGAGAGTGGTGAGCCGTGTCTCCCGATCCGCTCTAACCCAGTGTAGGAGTGGCTTTGAAAGCTGCTCCTAACATTACGTGTGAATTCTTAGGTGTGGTGAGACTATTGGGGCATGTTTTTTAAAAAAATCAGTGCTGGCAGGGGTGTAGCTCAGTGTTAGAACTCGTGGCTTAGCACACACCCGTCTTTCCTCTTAGAAGTGGACTTAGTGTCACGGGGCTCCAGGGTTCTGCAGCCTGTTTCCAGGTTCTTGGTGTCCTGAATGAAGACTTGGGCGAGATGCATGAGAGGCACTGAGGCTTTCCATTTATTAAAGGTCAGAAAGGAACGAAGAGTGAGAGCGGGCCAGAGAGAGCTCACGGCGGCCACAGGGCTAACGGTGGCCATCTTTGGTGTCCCTCATTCTGCAGGCCAACATCAGATCCAGGCTCTGCTACCAAACCCTGCTTGATCTGAACATGGAAGATTTGTGAAAAGCACTTTCTGATTGGTCCCAGGTGCAGGGCTGGGGAACTGGGTCCCGAGTCTCTATGGTGATAGGTCGTGCACACTTACTCAGCCAGTTGGCTTTACCCCAATCTCCTGTCTCCTCAGCATCAGGAGATGCAGAAATAGACACAGGAAGCAAGCACAGGATGTGTGGCAATGACCACTGTTTGATACAGACTGTCCTTCACCAGAGCATTCTAGCAAGTCCTTGGCGTGGTCTACCAGGAGATGTTACCAAGGGCAGTGTCCCACCTTTGAGAAGGCGAAACAAAATGAGGAGGCTATTCTAGAAATGCTTCTGCCACGAAGAGTGCATGTATGCCACATTAATGAAAACTCCACAGCAGTAGTTGATTACTTTTGTGGGTTACCATTCAGGAGAACTTTACTATGTCATAGGGAGTTTATATTCTGTTAGCACAAAGCAGTGAGACATTGACCTTTCAAGGGTCTGGGGTTTCAGTGAGGTGTGCTGGCACACACCTGTAATTCCAGCACCCTGAATAGCTGAATTGGGAGGATCAAGATTCCACCACAGCCTGGGCAACTTAGCAAGACCTGTCTCAAAAAAAGAAAGAAAGAAAGGAGAGAGAAGGAGAGAGAGACAGAGAGAGAGAGAGAGAGAGAGAGAGAGAGAGAGAGAGAGAG